TTATGTTTTAGATTTTACATGGCATAAATGTCTAAATATTTAGCTCTAGACCTCTAGTCCTTTGAGTGGTATTAATAAATAAAAAAATTTCATAAGATTTATGAGTTAAAGGAAGATTTAAACTTTTGTGAAGTATTAAACATGTGATGATATGAAGGGGAAAAAAATCCTTGTGCGGACGCTCACTACTCGACCACTCTCTTATTTTTTAGAATGATTATTATTAGTTATCTTACTTTATGTTGTGAAATGTTATACCTCGCATACCTTATTAGTTGCAATTTTTTGCATACGAAACGAGATAAATTGTCACTAAAAGATTTAGTATAACTGGATTTATATATACGTGTCAGACATAATTGGAGCTTTACAAATACACATAGAGGTTGTATATATGCGAATTTCGAGAACGAAATTCAATTCAAAGAGGGTAGTTAGTAATATCCCAAAATTTTACAAAATAAGATTATTTGGTGATAAGGATTTTTTACCTAGATGCCTTTTAATAATTTTGAAAAGTTGAGGGAAGTGTAATAATTATTAATTTCAATATTATTTGGATAAAATAATTAACTGTTGACATCGGTAAGATAAATATATTAATATTGGGCTCGTTTTAGTTCAAATTAAATGATGCATCATGGATAAAAAAAAAAGTTAATTTAATTAATTAAGTTGGGCCTAAGATATTATTGTCCAAAGTAGCCTTCTCTAATTAGTAATTAATTAAGTAGATTGTTGATTTTTAAAGATTGTCAGCCTACGTGTGTGTTTAGATAAACATGAACTAATTTTTTATTTGATTAAGATTTGTAATTCCATTAAAACTCCACTTAGTCGAATTGAAATAGCAATGTCCCACTTTCAATCGGAAGTCGTCCTCTTTAAACTCTTCCAAAGTCAGATATTGGACACAAACTTTTCATAACAGAAATTCACAATCTTATTAAATTAATGCTTAACGTAGCCAATAAATTAGGAGAAGTTTGGAACGTGCATACATAAGTTCTTTTAAAAAATCGTTTGATCTATCAAGGTGAGATATTTAACGTACAAGAGGTTTGTTTTCTTATTCTTTTATATATTTAATGAAATATGCATGAATTGGTGCACCTTTAGGTTTGAGCAAACGAAATATGAAATCTTTTCAATTTTTTATAAAGGGATATGAACTCATTCGAGAATTGAAAATGAAATGAAATGTAAAATTCTTCGGAAATTCGAAATTATTACGTAATGAGATTCTCTATTTTATTATTTTATAAAATTGCGTATCGAAATAGCACATATCTTATTGGGTATTGTACTACTCTTATAATAATTTATAGGTTAGTTTGGATCGATCGGACCTATGGTAGTATGATGATTCAGGCAGCTAAGAGGAATTGAAGACTTATCAAAGCATTAAATTTTTTTATCTTTCGATTCATCATTTAGTTTTAATTTTGTTTAAATACATTTTTATTTTATAAATAGGTTATTATGTTTTCATTTTGAAGAAATACAAACTCCATGTTTGATTGATATTTATTATTAAAAATAAAGAATTAATTTCCTTTTTATCATTTCGGCATTAACATGAAAAAAAAAATTGACTTTTTAGTAACACTCTAAAGTTTAAGGAAATTGGAGTGTTCCAAGAAGTGCATCCAAAAGTACGTAAAATTTATAATCGGCTTTAGAATAACGCCGTTCAATGGCTCCCGCTTGTTGATGTGTACAAGGAAATTTGAGACGATGATTAATTCTTTGAGTTACCAAGTAGTGTTTTGAGCTTCGACATTTACCATTCCAATCAGATTGGAGGGCTCTAATTTTTATGTTAAATTGACATTCTACGGGATCTCGTGAAATTGGATAAAAACTTGATTTAAGTTTGAGCAGAAAAGGCAATAAGAACTTGGTTGCATCATCAGAAAAGTTGATATAACAACATGCAGTCATGCACCAGAAGTAAATGAAACGGGAGATGGTCCCAAAATGTTGGACCATCAATATGAAGAAGATGAAGGGACGATGAGTTACATTCTCCCACTTGGTCCATACATTCAACCCAATGTCTCAACTGAATTCCATCAATTGTCCTTCTTAAGAAACAAGCACATGAATCATGGAGATGAGTCCTCTAATAACGCGTATAATCTTCCATGTATTACGATGCATTTAGTTCCTCAGGAATTATTTTTCATAATTTTTTCATAAGGTAACAACACTTGATGAAAAGACCATATGTATTATTCTTGGTCCTAAAAGATATATATTCTCTCAAATAAAAGCGCTTGAGAATATGAGAAAATATCATAACAAATAAGATTTTCGTACAAAATTTTTGTATATACTATTACATAGTGGAACCAAGTCCTATTTTCTCCACATGATCCTTGAATTTTAACGGTGGCATGCCTTTAGTCAAAGGATCAGCGATCATCAATTCCATGCATACGTGCTCAATGATCACTTTCTTTTCTTTAATACGTTCCCTTATGGCTAAATACTTAATGTCGATTTACTTACTTCGACTACCACTTTTATTGTTCTTAGCCATAAAGACAGCAGTCGAATTGTCGCAGTAAATTCTCAATAGCCTAGAAATGGAATCCATATTTCTAAGCCCAGATATGAAACTCTTAATCCATACACCATGTGATGTAGCCTCAAAACAAGAAACGAACTTGACTTCCATACTGGAAGTAGTAATTAAAGTTTGCTTAGCACTCCTCCATGATATAGCTCCACCAGCCATCATAAAGATATACCTTGATTTTGATTTTGGTGAATCAATATAGTCGGCAAAGTCTGAATCTGAGTATCCAATCACTTCCAGATTATCCGTCCGTTCATACATAAGCATGTAATTTTTGGTTCCTTGAAGGTACCGTATTACTTTTTTTGACTGCTCTCCAGTGGTCCATACCTAGATTACTTTGATATTGTCCTAACATTTCTATAGCAAATGCAATGTCAGATCTTGTGCAGATTTGAACATACATCAGGCTTCCGACAGCAGAAGCATATGGAAGTTCTTCATTTGTTCCCTTTCTAGATCATTTTTTGGGCATTGGTTCAAATTGAACCTATCACCCTTCACAATGGGAGCTACACTTGGTGAACAATTTTTCATCTGAAATCTCTTTAAAACTTTGTTGATATAGGTTTCCTGAGACAGACCCAAAATACCTTGTAATCTGTCCTTAAAAATCTTAATGCCAATGACATAAGATGCCTCACCCGTATCCTTCATATCGAAATGTTTAGAGAGAAATTGTTTCACCTCACGCAACAAACCCTTATCATTGGTTGCAAGTGAAATATCGTCTACGTATAAAACAAGGAAACATATTTTACTCCCACTAATCTTCTGGTATACACATTGATCCATGGGGTTTTCAACAAATCCAAATGAAGAAATTACTCCATGGAATTTTAAATAACATTGACATCATGCTTATTTCAGACCGTATATAGACTTTTTAAGTTTATAGACCAAGTGCTCACATCATTGAAGGGGAATCCTTTAGGTTGTTTCATATAAACCTCATCCTCTAAATCTCCATTGAAAAATGTTATTTTCACATCCATTTTTTTGTAATTCAAGATCAAATTGGGCTACTAATGTCAAAATAATACATAGAAAATCTTTCTTAGATACCGAAGAAAAGGTCTCCGTGTAATCAATTCCCTTCTTTTGAGTAAATTCCATAGCAACAAGTCTCGCCTTGTATCTCTCGATATTGCCTAGCGAGTCTTTCTTAGTCTTAAAGACCCATTTACAGACAATGGCTTTGGCATCACTAGGCAACTCAACAAGATCCCAGACTCCATTGCTCTTCATAAAACTCATTTCTTCCTTCATGACATTGTACCATAATTCTGACTCTTTACAACTCATGGCCTGTGAAAATGATTCGGGATCATTTTTTACTCTAATATTGTGGTTAGGTTCTTGTAGATACACTTCATAATCACTAGAAATTTTTAACCTTTTTGTTCTAGTAGATCTTCTTAACGTTGTATCATCATCTTTCTGATAAGCTCATAGTTCAACCATTTGTTCAGGAAGTTCTAGTAATTCCTGAATTACCTGATCTACTTGAACATTATCAATAGCTTGTGGAATGTCAAGGTTTGGTTGTTCAACACCTGTTTGTACTTGAGGGGTAATGTGAACTATAATCAATCTATCATCTGAGGTGGGAGGCTGAGATTCCAAATCATCCTCAGGAACTTTGTTCTTGGTTTGATCGCTCCCACTAATCAAGTCATTCTCAAGAAGCTTAGCATTTCTTAATTCCACAATCCTAGTGCTATGAGATGGACACTAAAATCTGTATCCTTTAGACCTTTAGGCATATCCAATCAAATACCCACTAATGGTCCTTGGGTCCAACTTCTTCTCTTGTGGATTATAGATCTTCACTTCAGACGGACATCCCCAAACGCGCATATGTCGCAAACTTGGTTTCCAACCTTTCAACAATTTAAATGGTGTCTTTGGGACAACCTTTGTTGGAACTCGGTTTAATATATACACTGTCGTCTTAAGTGTTTCAGTCCTCAAGGATTTAGGAAGATTGGAGCTATTAAGCAACTGCACCATGTCCAATAATGTCATATTTCTTCTTTCTACTACACCATTCTGGTCTAGTAAACTAGGCATGGTGTATTGGACAACTATCACATGCTCTTGAAGAAACTTAGCGAACGGACTAGGTGCTTGTCCATCCTCTGTGTATTTACCATAATATTCTCCACCTCTATCTGATCTTACGATCTTAATCTGCTTCTCATATTGTTTCTCTACTTCAACTTTAAAGGTTTTAATAGCTTCCAATGCTTCGTTTTTATTATGAAGTAAGTAGAGATACATATATCGTGAATAATCATCAATAAAGGTGATTAAGTATTTTTTACCATGTGAGTCCATATCTGGACTGCATATATCAGTATGTGGTTTCTAATATGTCCAAACTCTTGTTGGCACCTTTCTTGGACTTTTTGGTCTACTTTCCCTTTATGCAGTCCACACATGTGTCAAAATCAGTAAAATCTAGAGTACTAAGTATCCCATCATTCACTAATCTTTTGATTCTATCTGTAGAGATATGTCTTAATCTTCGATGCCACAACATAGAGGAGTCTTCATTAATATTACATCGTTTAGTGCCAATATAAACATGCATTGAACTATAAGTGATATCGTTTTGTAAATTAATACAACTAAGACCATCAGACAAAGTATCATTCCCAACACAATCAGGATTATATAATAAACTGAATGACGTGTTTGAAAAATTAAAGAAATATCCCAAGGATACAATTCTAGAAATAGAAATCAAGTTTTGTGAAAAAATTGGAACATAAAAGGTCCTATCTAATTTCAAAGCAAAGCCACTACTTAAAGTTAAAATGCATATTCCTATAGCCTCTACACGTGAGCTTATCTTGTTTCCAAATAAGATATTTTGCTTACTTCCCACTGGCTTCCTTAGGTTTTGCATTCCCGCAAAGAGTTTGCAACATGAATTGTAGATCTAGAGTTTACAACATGATTATGGGGTTGCATTGACAGGGGTCCTTGGGTATTTGAAATATACTATGACCTATGTATTACATTTCACAAGATATCCTGTAGTATTGGAAAGATATTATGATGCGATGGTATACACTAAGTCTATGAATGAAATGGGATAAACTCCGATCATGGTGGTTATTTGGATATACAAGAACAAATGAAATATTAAAGAATATTCATAAAGTTCAAATACATTACAATGCTTTAATGATAATATTGAATACCCATGTATGAAATTTACTAGTAAATATGATAGACTAGTATAACGATTTGATAGAAGTTTTCCAATATTATTTGGAATTGATACTTTAGATAAAGTTAATGAGAAGCATGTAACTTCATGAGAGGATTTCTAAGTTGGTGACAATGTGTATCTATCAAATGAATCGATCATTGGCTAACTAAATTTGAAAAGATACTGAGTCATATGTAATGGTAAGTCTAGACATGTACGTCGTAGATATAATACCATAAACAATTGATCTCATTGGCGTGAACTTGTGGATCCATTTATATATGTTTACCAAGAGATAAAGTATACTACATGTCAAAGGGAATGAGATTAAGCCTACTGAGTAAGAGTCCTTATGATGGTAACCCTACTATGTTGACTGGAGATCTCAAGATCTTGGTTCAAAGGGACAACTTAGTTATGAAGATTCCGTGAAGTACTTAGGAAACTAATTTTCTAACTCATTGCTATGATACCAAAGTGCTCTCTGCAGAATGGTTGGAGGTTAAGATAAATTTTTAATGATTTCTATATCTTGATTAAGTCAAGTGGAGTAGTGCCAAACACTCTTAATAGAAGATCACCTATGTAAGTATGAAGTGGGGCAACTTCAATGAAAAATATTCAAAGCTTGAATTCTCTAAGCACTTACAGAACCAAGATGGGTTCAGGGCCAAAATAAACCAAGTCATGAGAATAATGTACGGTTTATGATAGACATTGTGTGAGTACTATTATCTTGGTTTACACCAACGGCTGATGGTTCAAGAACATCGTATTCACCAATTAGCTAGTAAATCGGATGGTATTTCACTAAGGAATGTTCAAAGCCAGAAACTACCTTACTTGATGTAGTTTTTTTCGCACTCTCTACTAGGTTTTTCATTATCATTTGCATATGTGGAATTTCCATTCATGTGGGGGATTGTTGAAAATTAGTTGAGGAACAATTTGCATATGAATGAGAAATCCGGTCCTATTTGAAGGAAATTAAAATTTGGGGTGTGTCCCTTCAACTCCTATATATAGGACCATTTGAATATTTATTTTGATAATCATAAAAATTACTCTTTCATGTCCTGTTGCACAAAACACTTTATAGAAGTGATTTTATTTTGCATCAAAAACATGGTCATGGTATAGAGGGAATTTCATTCGAGTTCGTTGGTCGAAGTCATTTGGAGTGCTCATATGGCTCGACGTGGTCATTATATCTTGGGAGATGATTGCCGAAAAATCGTTAGCACCGATACGGGGCAAATTCATTTTAAGGACAAAGTGTCTAACACTTACCTCAGCCAATCGCATCACTCACATCTCACCTTGATTCTTTTTTATTTCTTTCTTCATATTTGATTTCAAAAAATTAATAGCATTCTTTTGATTTCATGTAGGTTTGAAATAAAGAATGGAAATGATTGAATCTGTCATTTCATCTTCCCAAATCCATTTCAGTAAGACGAAACTGCATTTCGATTTCGTAAACATAAATGAAATGTTTTGTGAATATAATATGCACAATATCGATATAATTTTCCAACACTTTAAACATTAAAAAATCATACAGTTTTATCTAAACTGTGTAAGATTGAGGATCACCAAATCAGCATCGAAGCATCCCAAAACCACCTATATCCACGAAGAGAAAAAAGGTACAGGTGGAATATAACAAATTATAAAAGAAAGATGCATTCAATCATTGTGAAATTAAATTATACTAAAAAGTCTAAAATAAATTTAACAAGTTGTTGACAATGTTTAAAGAAAATAATATATAATGATACAATCATTTATTATCCAATCCTTGAGATTGACCAAAACATGGTTAATTGAAAATCATTCACAAATATAATTACGTTCAATTTCAATGATTATTACCATAAAAAAATTACGTAAAACGAAGATATATATCTCTGCCCCTTCTTCAATTTTATGATACTTGTCAAAACGTGTAAAACTTATATCTAATCTTTTGGAAACAATACAAGCCACAAAGTCATTCAACTTTTGAAGAATTATTCTTCGGAAGCCACCAAATCGCCCAATTATTTGACTTTTCCTTGGTTGCAGTTTAACTTTCGGAAAACAACGTGAGAGATTTTTGAGACAATTCTTGAAATTTCGGAGCCATCGCTAGTTATGATTAAGGATTATCAAGTCAGTCTCCCAATACCACTTATATACACAAATTACAAGAGGAAAATTGTTTTGACGAGAACCATCTTTTTTAGAATTAAAGGGAAAACGTGACCATTTGCATTTGGTAGGTAGGTAGGTAGGTAAACTTTATTAATTCAAATCCTCACAAAAACATGACGAAATTAAAGCAAGAACACCTCAATCTAGTGAACAGCTTAGCCCAAAAAATTAAAAATAAATTAAAATAACTGGATAAGGCAAGGTTGTGGACTCCCCTAATGCTATCTCTAAAAATATAGTGTCACGTACACCCGGCTTCTCAAATAATGCTAAATTATCAAAGAAAATAAAATAAAAATAAGAAACCATTGGTTGCTAGATTATTGTTTGAATGCAGCCCATGAACCATAGTTGATGTGTCAATTTCAGAAAATTGTGTTGAAAACTTCAAGATCAACGAACAACTTTTAAGTGAGGGGATGAAAATTTCAAGAGAACGCTCAATTTTTATTCAATTCACTTGTTAAAATTAAGTTAGATCACTAGGGTTTTATAGGCTTTACAAGTAATGAATCTAATTTAATACATGTACTGACTATTTAATACATTATCCCCAAATAACTCCGAAGTACATGAATCAACTACTGCATTAATGTATTCATAACTCAAGATATAAATGGTAGCAAAAGACACGAAACATTAACTTATCTAAATAAATGAAATAAACTTTAGTCATGTTAATTCCAAGCAAACTTTGAAACTTTGAAAATTTATTAAAATGTTATTTAGCATCACTGGTCCATCTTAAGTGGCACTAATATACTATTAAATAAATAAGAGGTATAATTAATCAATCATTTAATTCTACACTCTGTCGAATCTGTCACTTATGTCACCTAAATTGGTGTTTTAGCACTAGTGGTACAAGATAGCATTATTCTTAGCGAAAATATCAACAATCTGCTCTAGAAATTATGCAATTTTTATTCCCACATGTTGTTTGTCTACATAATCTCAAACAAAATAATACTCCTTATCGATGTGCTTGCTCCGATCATAAAATAATTAGCAAAGATAATTGTTAAAACTAAGAGAATAGAGGAAGAATTTTGAATAACTTCTGTATTTTGTGATGAATAAAAATGTACAAGAGCCCTCCTTTTATAGGTGAAGGAGGCAAGCACATAAAGTAATCAATTAATGCTAATTACACAAATCATGTTCTAATTATACAATTACACAAATCATGGAGATTGACCAAATCATGGAGATTGGTCAATCAATATAATTAGGGAGATATGCTAACATCCCCCCTCAAACTCAAGGTGGTATTATAGATATGAACTGGAGTTTGCAAACCAATGAGCGATGGTGACCAAGTGGATGAGCCTTTGTGAAGATATCAGCCAGCTGATCAGCCGAAGGAACTGACAAGAGGCGAAACATCCCTTCCTGAAGATGATGGCGAACAAAATGACAGTCGATCTCAATGTGTTTCGTACGTTCAGAAAAGACATCGTTATGAGCGATCTGGATAGCACTATGATTGTCACAATAAAGCGGAGTGCTAGAGGGCTGAGGAACACCAAGAACACCCATATCTTGGAGAAGCCAAAGAAGGTTAGAAATAGTGTCAACAAGGGCTCGATACTTAGCCTCAGTGCTAGAGCGAACAACAACGGTCTGCTTTTTGCTCCGCGAAGAGATAAGGGAGTCACCGAGTAGAAAAAGAAAACCAGTGGTAGATCGGCGATCAAAAGGGTCCCCTGCCCAATCAACGTCAAGGATGAGTGAGAGGAAAAGTAAAGCCCATGAAATAATGTTCCCTCATATAGCGTGAGATGCGAAGAACAGCTGCCTGGTGAATGGAACGAGGAGCTGACATAAATTGGCTAACAAGATGCACTGCATAGGCGATGTCTGGTCTAGTAACAGTGAGATAAATTAGGCTCCCAACAAGACGTCGGTAATGAATGGAATCAGGAAGGAGCTCCCCATCAGTAGGACAAAGTTTGATGTTGGGCTCCAGCGGACTATTAGCTATCTTACAATCTGTGAGACCAGCATGGGTGAGAAGATCAGAAGCATACTTGGCTTGGGTCAAAGAGTAGCCATCAGTGGTAGGGGACACTTCTAAGCCGAGGAAGTAGCTAAGAGAACCAAGGTCTTTCATCTCAAAATGCTGACACAGAAACTACTTAAACTCATGAATACCAAAATTATCATCATCAGTAATGATCATATCATCAACATAAAGTAGTAGAATAGTGATGTCAGTGTCAGTGTGACAAGTAAAAATAGTAGAATCATAGGGGCTAGAAGCAAACCCAAGTTGTGCAACAGTGGAGCTGAACTTGGCAAACAAAGCACGAGGAGCTTGCTTAAGCCCATATAATGCTCATCGGAGACGACAGACCTTATCGAGAGGATTAAGGTACCCTGGAGGAGGCTGCATATAAACCTCCTTAGCCAAATCATCATATAAGAAGGCATTCTTGACATCCGTTTGAAATAAAGGCCATCAATGTGCAGAGGCGACAGCCAAAAGAGAACGGACGGAGGTAATACGAGCAATAGGGGTAAATGTCTCCTCGTAGTCAATGCCAGACTCCTAAGTAAAGCCCTTTGCCACTAAACGCGCTTTATGTCTTACTTCAGAACCATCAGAGTTCCTTTTCCTCTTATACACCCATTTGTTCCCAACTACAGTCTTTCCAGGAGGCAGGTCAACCAAATCCCAAGTATGGTTTTGTAAAGAACGTCAAGTTCTTCAGACATAGCTTGCTGCCAAACAGGGTCAGAACAAGTTTCACGATAATTGCGAGGCTCGTGAAGAGAGTCAAGAATAGAAAAATAATAGTAATTATTAAGATGCATAGGAGGTGCTCTTACCCTACTAGAACGACGAACATCCAAATCAGAGGACTCAAGAGGGGTGGATGCAATGGCATAATCATCAGATGATCCAGTCTCGTGAGAGATAGGCGTGGAGTGATCACCAGATGAGCTGACATGACCTACATTAAAGGAAAAATCTAGAGAGAGGTCTATGGCAGGGTCAATAAAAATGAGAGAGTATGAGAGACAATCGGATGAGAGTGGAAAGATATTAGTGAACACTTCGTGTTCCCAAAATTGAACATGTCGAGAGACTCGAAGACGCTTAGCTATGGAGTCATAGCACCGATAATCCTTGTGTTCAATCCCATAACCAAGAAAGTAACAGAGACGAGAACGAGGTTTAAGTTTTGTATGTTCATGAGGTGGAAGTAAGACGAAGCAAGCACAACCAAACACTTTGAGAAGAGAATAATCGGGTACATTTCCATAGAGAACCTCATATGGAGACTTATTGGAGAAAGTAGGGGTTGGAACTCAATTAATAGTGTAAACAGTGGTAAGGGCATCTCCCCAAAAGAATTTGGAGAGGGATGCAGAGAAAAGTTGAGAGCGAACAATGTCAAGAATGTGACGATGCTTACGTTTTACACGGCCATTCTGTTGGGAGGTATATAGACAGGATCGATGGGACAAAGTGCCTGCCTCTTGAAGCTCTTCAAGGAAAGAAGCAGAAGTACACTCCATGGCATTATCAGACCGAAAGACTTTAATGGTGCGATGAAACTGAGTTTTTATAATCTGCTTAAAATCGCGAAAAGCATTAAGTAACCCAGTGCGATCATGCAAAAGATAAATCAATGTATATCCAGAATAATCATCAACAAAAATAACAAAGTAATAAGACCCGCCCTTAGTAGAGATACGAGCAGGATCTCAGATATTAGAATGAACCAAATCAAAAGAAGCAGAAGACAAAGAATTACTTTCATTAAAAGGTAAAGCTTTCTGTCTCCCAAGTTAACAAGACACACAATCAAAATGTTCAAATTTAACATTACCTAAATAACCACTAGAAGCTAAAGACTGAACACGAGATAAGGATGTATGACCAAGACTAGAATGCCAAACACTGGAAGACACAGCAACACTAAGAGATTGAGGAGAACAAGAACTAGGCAAATGCAGAGATGTAAGCTCAAAAAGGCAACCAATTTTTTGCCCGGTCCCAACTAGCTGGCCTGTCTTTGGATCCTGCATATCATACCTTTTGTGAGAAAAGGTTAAGATAAAACCACTTTCAACAAGTTGACCAACAAAAAGGAGATTTAGAGACAAGTTAGCCACAACATATGTGTTAGGTACAAAAAGGGTAGGAGTGGAAACGTGACCAAAATGACTAACAGACATAAGTGAACCATCAGCGGTATAAATTAAAGGAACGGGATTTAAATACTTTCTATGGGTAACTAAAGAGAAATCGAGGTCATATGATTGCAACAGGCAGAATCAAGAAACCAAGATATAGAGTTACCTGTGGAGATTGATAAAGCAGTAGAAGTACGGGATATGACCTGGATGACAATTGCCTCAATTTTAGCTGTAGAAAGTGACGACAAAGATGTAGAAGAGCAATCAGCAGCAGGAGGCTTGGAAGAGTAAGATGCATTAGCCATAAGAGCATCCTTAGCCTTCTTCTTAGGACAATCAAAAATACGGTGGCCATCTTCCTTAAAATAGTGGTATTGGCTGTTGAAACGTCGCGGTTTAGAAGAAGCAATAGCTGCAACAAGAGTGGCCGGAGTAGATGAGCTAGATGGAACAGTAGTCAAAACCATATCAGTAGAATGAACCCGACGAGTTTGTTGTCGTGTTTCCTCAGAAATTAGCTCCATAAAGACAACTTCAAGTGTAGGAAGAGGAGATCGATGAACAAAGATGCTCGAGTATTCTCAAGTTCATCCCAGATTTGCATCATAAAATACATAAACTGACAACGATCACGATATTCAGCGAAAAGCTTAATCGACTTTTCATCAGAAAAAACGGGTCAGTTTGAGAAAGCTGATCCCAAATACTACTAACCTGAGCATGATACCCAGTGATAGACTGTCCAAGTTCCTGACGCATTTGGGAAAGCTTAGTCTCCAACTGAAACTCTAGAGTAGCATCACTATCACAGTTGTAGCATTTTGCCAAAAACCCCCAAGCAAGTTTGGCATTCCGGAACTTAGGGAATAGACTCTGAATGGAAAGGGCTAATGTATTAATAAACCAAAAAAGGATCTTACAGTGAGTACTTTTCCATTCATCAAAGGCCTCATCAAACTCCTATATGGATTGCTTGTCAGTTTTTGTTTTGTTCCAGTGACAAAACATGATGTAGTGCATAAGAGATTAGAGTTTATGAGGAAATGAGACCGTCGCAAAGCATAACTTCGGGTTTAGAGTTTTTGATTTCATGATAACTTAGGGTTTGTTCGTTTTTGGCGAATTGCTAGTCTAATTCGATTAGAATCGAGCCAATGAATAAAATTTAGCACCTTTGGCCCTGATGCAAGGCCAATTTTGAGCAAAATCCATCGTTTAGGCCCTCGTTTAGGCATTTTTCCTTTTTTGGTAATTCTTATTTTGAGTATATCTCAATTAAATAAATTCGGATTTACATTTCGTTTGTTGGAGAGTAATCCTGAAGATTAGGACTATCAATTTCCATCATTATCTTGGTTTTTTCCATTTTTGGAAAAAAAAATCTTTTATTTTTATTTTTATTTAATTTCCGAATTTTCTAGTGTTTTGCTATAAATACGTTATAAGCCTCTTGAGGCCGCAGATTGATTTGAATGAAATAAAAATCTTCGTGAGTTTTCTTCTTTATGAGATTTGTTCATCTTCTCTATAACTTCCGCTATGTCAAAACGCCATAATCTCCGGCCAATCAAAAAAACTGACATTTGTTGGACCCAATCATTATAGTTAGAGTCGTTCAAAAACAATCTCTATAGGATGAGCAACATCATTTGAAGAAGCCATAACAGAAAAATGATAATGCTAACCGAGTTAGAGCAAAGGACAACACTGATGGAATAAGCACGAAAAAGTGGCTGGAAGGTCATCGGAGATGACGACGAGTGACGACAGATGAGGCGATGTTGGTTCGGAATGATTTTTGCACCAAAAAACAAAATCTCTAGAGCAACAAGATCGATTTATGGTATTGGAATACCAAAAGAATCAATGAATGAAGGCTAGAAGTGGTGATAGAGCGACGGAATGCATAAAACCAAAAAAAAAAAGAAAAAAATAAGACACAAACTAGAGGCCAAGAACTAAAGATGACTCTGATACCATGTTAAAACTAAGAGAATAGAGAAGAATTGTGAATAACTTCTGTATTCTGTGATAAATAAAACTGAACAAAAGCCCTCCTTTTATAGGTAGAGGAAGCAAGCACATAACGTAAGTAACTAATGCTAATTACACAAATCATGCTCTAATCATACAATTACACAAATCATGGAGATTAGTCAATCAATATAATTAAGGAAATTTGCTAACAATAATGTTGACTTATTATCAATAAAAATCTCCATTAAATCACCTTGTTGCAAATGTACTTTAACAAATTTTTAATAAAAATTTCTTAAAAAATGATGCAATACCAACATATTCTACTTCACAACTTGAAAATGTAACCATGTCAAGGTCATATCTTACATAAACAATACAACATTTTGTTTTTTTTCTATCATCCACATATGTGGTTGAATGGTTATTGTTATATTTAACAAGCTTGAAATCATCAAAATATGAATAAATAACTGATAGAGAATAGTACCTCTAATGTAATGCAGGATTTCTCTTTGTAGCCTAGAAATGATAATGGTAGAAAACTCCATGTATTGACTAACAGACATGTTCCAAACAAAATATTGGGTCTTGCACATGTCAAGTAATTCAAACCCTCAATAAGGTTCTTGAAAATAGTTGAATCAACTTTTTCACCGTCATTGAATCTTGATAATTTTATTCCATAATCCACGGAGTGTAACTGGGTTGCACAACTTACACTATCTTAAATCTTTCAAGAATCATATTAGCTTATGTTTTGTAGAAATGAAAGTTCCATATTCTTGTTACTTCATTTTAATGCCAAGGAAGACTGACTTAGACCAATACCAATCACATAAAACTTTTCCGACATAGTTCTCTTGAACTCATCAATAAGTTTCTAATTATTGCGTAAAAAAATCAGATCATCTACGTACAAATAGTAAAGATATCGCCATTTGATTCACCTTCCTATAGAGAGCATATTTTATATTTTTCTAGTCTCAAGTGCTATGTCATTGGTGTTTGCATAAAACATGCAAAGCTCCCTTCAACTTCAAAACATTATCTTCGTACCCTTTCACAAAATAGCCATAAGGTTGTAGCATGTTTTACATCTTCTAGAAAATGTTAAAATGATTGATTTATTATCTAATTTGTGAATCTTTTATCAATTTTGTACTTCTATGATGATAATCAATTCAATTATTTTGAAACGAGCCATCGGTGCAAATACTTCATCATAACCAACAATATGTTGTTGATTGTAACCTTTAACAGCCAATCTTACATTGTGACATTTAATTTTACAACTTGTATTCTTCTTTTCTTGGAAAATCGATCTGACTCCAATAGGCTTTTGACCTTTAGGAAGTGAGGCTAACTCACAAGTGTGACTCTTTTCGATGGCTTCAATTTTTTCATCCATGGCTTTCTTCAATTTCTTATCTTTAATAACATCATCAAGACATACAATTTGCATGATCGGCAAAGAGATTAAAAAAAACGATTTAAGTCCTTAAAGATGATTAGTTAACTCTTCATTAACATTTATAAACCTCCTGAAGACTTCTGAATGTTGTGGCCCTTCACTTGAGGATGATAAAGATTGTTAAGTTTTAATTTATATTGGCTATTCTTTAGAAAAATGAATAATTATAAAAAAGTTGTAAAAGTCAATAAGTCTTTTGGGATATTATATAGATAAACTCAGAGTCGTGGAAATTATGTTAGCATGTCGCCACATTGATCCTCGAGAATTCAAAATAGAATCATTATTGCCCGCCTATCACCCGGCTGTCACTCGAGTGACACACCTATCGCTTGAGCGCAAGTCTGGCCCTTGAGAGAGGGTGTTCTCCGAGAAACCCTAGTTCGCAATTTTCAAAAGTTCTATCTATCCTACACTATCTCTATTCCTCTCTACTGTAAATACACAAGCACCACTTCATGAAAACGGTGGTTGATCATTGTATTCTACCTTCATAATATACTTTGGAGATCGAACAACAATTATACATCTCGAGATCAATCAACCACGAGTTGGAAAAAAATCAACATCATATAATAAAAAACACTAGCTTCATAAATATAATTAGGAAAGTACTTTCTCAATAGCTTTCAAAGGTTGTTAAAAATTGAGGAAGGTTCGCCCAGAAGCAAATGAAGAGTTCAAGAATAAGGTGTTCTTGGTGTTGGGAATCTACTTATACATGCATAGCGGAATTTAAAATAATTTTCGATTCCCACCAAGAATCGCCTTTGTGTTT